CCCCCGTGAACAGGCCACACTCAGCCCGCGCCCGCAGGCCGCGCCCGGGGCTCCCCACCCAGGCCCAGGCTCCCCCCTCACAGGCGGACCCAGAGCTCCCCCAGGCCCAGCCCTGCAGGAGGCACGCGGGGGCCCGGATCCCCTCAAGTCCCGGTGGGGCCCAGGCCCGGCCTGCGTCAGGAAGCCCCCCCAGCAGGGCCTGAGGCGCCGCGTTCGGGCCAGAGAAACGGGCCCACCTCGAGCAGGTACCCCGATGGGAAGCATCAAGAGCAAAGACCCTCTCGTGAGGCTCGCGGCGTCGGCAGGGGCACACCCCTTAATCCTCGTTCTCTTTGGGGTGTGGGCAGAGGTGCTTTACCCCAGAGCAAGTCCCTCTGGCCTGCCCTAGGCGGCTTTGGCCCAGCCCACCTCCTGCGCCCCCAGGAGACATGACCTCCCACCTTCGCTGGCTCCCCGCCCCTGGCACCAGGGCGCCCGCTGGGCCCCGGACTGGCTCCACACCCAGTGGAGACAAGCGGGCTGAGCGCTGCGGGGATGCGCTTCCCTGCCCGTGAGCCCCGCGGCCGCAGGCCGGGCTCTGCCCCCGCCAGGGCTTGGAAGCCGCCTGCATTCCTGCGCGCGGCCTGCAGCGGGAAAGGCATGAGTCTGTTTTGTAACCCAGACGTTTCTGCTGGCGCAGACTCTGGGAAGCAGGGAGGGGAGCCCCGCGCCTCGGGAGAGGGGGTCAGAGGCGGGAGCTCCTCCAGCAGCTCTCTGGAAACCAGATGCGCTCGAAACAAAGGCCGAGGTGGCAGGCACAGGCCGCCTCCCTTCCCCATCTGTCCTGGGGGGACGGTCACTGTCCCCGCTTCCTGAAGTGCTCGGAGGACAGAACTCAACGTCTGCTAAGGCCTGAGCACGAAAATAAAGCGGCTGCGCTTGCTGCCCCCCTCCCCCATTCCAGAATGTGACTTTATTTGGAAATCGAGTCTTCGCAGATGCAATTAGTTAAGCTGAGGTCATGCGGACTAGGATGGGCCTTAACTCCTGCGACCACGGAGGACGAGAGAGCTTAGCTCCGGGATCCGCTCTCCAGCCCAGCCGGCCACCGTCACCGGGGACATTCGATGACTGGACACAGCCCGAAGCCAGGGCAGGGGGCGCTTCCACACCTCCGGGCAAGGTCCTCCCAGGGAGGGGGGGGAAGGAGGCGAGAGGGCGAAACTGGCTGAGAAAGAAAAGGGAAGAAAAGGCCGCCGCACCTCCTGTTTACTGATGCTCCGTTTACAGCAGGGAAAGCGTGGGCCCAGCAAAGTGGATGACTGGCATAAAAAGATGGGGGGCATATACACCATGGAATATTACTCGGCAATCAAAAAGACAGACTCACGCCTTTTGCAGCAACATGGATGGAGCTGGAAGGGGTCATGCTGAGGGAAATAAAGGGAAAATACCGGATGGTTTCACTCACAGCAGGAGCCTAAGGGATGGGGGGGCGGGCGGGAAGAGCAATTGTAATTAAAAAAAATGAGCAACTATAAACCAGAGACATTTTATGGGGGTGAGAGGAGAATGGGATCAAAGCCGGGGTGGGGAATGTGCATGGGACTATGGTGAAGGCACACGGGTGAAGTGATGGTGGGAAATAAATGCACAAAATGAAGAATGAAGTAAAAAGGGAGGAGGGAGGGAAAGGGGGAGGGGAG